TAATGCTCTGATGCTTCTCAATTCAACCTTGAAAACGCCTTTTGTTCCCATTAATGGCTTTCACGCTAACGAGGCGCTCCCGAAGATCGAACCTTTGGGCCCATCAGGTCCTTCATTCCCGTGCCAAGAGAGCGGCTTGGGAATGCCGGGAGCGGCACACGCGGGGCTCCCCTAAACCGGAGTGTAAAGCCCGACCCAGCCTCGCCGCGGGGCCGGGGCTTCGTCCTACGGACCGAGCCTGAGCGGTGGGAATTAAAAGTGGTTTCTCTCGGTGCCAAGGGACTCTGAGAGCAGGGCTGGCCCCTGCTCTCAGAGTCCCTTGGCACCGAGAGGAACCACCCTGGCTCGCCCTGCTGTCTGTCCCAGCCTTATTAAGACACTCACCAGGCTGCCGTGTTTGCTCCCCAGCACGTTAGACTTGTGCAGGTCCCTCATTTGACTCGACAAGAGCTCTGTGCAGAGAGGGGGGAAAGCAAAAACATTCAATTCACCGCCCCCCCGGCAGGCCGAGAGAGAAAAAAACACACAAAACACCCTTCCTTGCTCCTCCTGAGGGGGATTGAATTACCGGGGCAGCGTTAGGTGGGATATTGGGAAGGAATTTTTGGCTGGGAGGGCCTGGCACAGGTTACCCAGAGAAGCTGTGGCTGCCCCTGGATCCCTGGAAGTGTCCAAGGCCAAGTTGGATGAACTTGGAGCCACCTGGGACAGTGGAAGGTGTCCCTGCCCATGGCGGGGGGTTGGAACAGGATAATATTTAAGGTCCCTTCCACTCTGGGATTCCAGAAAGTCAGTTTTGCTCCTGAGAGCACCGACGATGGAAGTATTCACGTCCAAGGCCCATTACCTGACTCACACACAATTAACTGCTCGTTAACCTGCCCGGTACCCCCGGGGTGTAAAACAACATCCCTCCCTCGCGCAGGTTTGCCGTGAGTCAGCTCCTCTGGGCGCTGCCACGGAGAAAACTCCTCAACTGGAGGGTTTACAAAGCGGTTTCTATTCTGGAATTTGTGCTTCTCCGCAAGAAGCTTTGGCTTGACCTTTGAGGAACGGTGGTTTGTGCGAAATCCGGCACAGGCTGATGGACAGGGGCTGTTCAGGTGTTCCCGGGAGCAGGCAGGGATGGCAGGCAGAGCCCACACCCCCACGCCGGGCTGGCAACGCGCTGCAGCACCTCAGGGATGGGGATCAGAGCCCCCAAAACCGTGTCCTGATGGCCTGAGAAGGTCACAGGGACTGGGGGAACAAGGATTTTCGTAGTTGCACAAGGTCAGTTCAGGGTTAGACACTGACCACTAAAAATATGATTATTTATGAGCCAAAACTTGCCCATCCCACTGCGGATAAGGACCTCGATAATGAGGGATAAAGGTCCCCATTAGGGCTCCCTGCAGCCATTGTGGTTTGGATGGCCCCGAGTTATGGCTCCGAGATAACATCAGTGGTGTTGGGACCTCCTCCAGCTCCCAGACCTCATCCAGCTCTCAGACTTCACCCATTTCCCAGATCCCCTCCAGCTCCCAAAGCTCCTCCAGTTCCCAGACCTCCTCCAGCTCCCAGATCTCCTCCAGCTCCCAGACCTTCTCCATCTTCCAGAGCTCCTCCAGCTCCCAGGCCTCCTCCAGCTCCCAGACTTCATCCAGCTCCGAGCTCCTCCAGCTTCCAGACCTCCTCCAGTTTCCAGACCTCCTCCAGCTCCCAGAGCTCCTCCAGCTCCCAGAGCTCCTCCAGCTCCCAGAGCTCTTCCAATTCCCAGACCTCCTCCAGCTCCCAGACTTCCTCAATTTCCCAGCCCTCCTCCAGCTCCCAGACTTCATCCATCTCCCAGAGCTCCTCCAGCTCCCAGAGCTCCTCGATTTCCCAGAGCTCCTCCAGCTCCCACCACCACCAGAGCACAGAGGCTCCGAGGATGGAGCCAGCTCTGCTTCCCCCCAGGAACCTTCTTCCTTGGGAAGAAGGTTCTTTTCCTGGCCCTGGCACAGGTTTGACCTCCAAACCCTCAGAGCTGCGGAGCAATTGCAGCATTTTGGCTTTACTGGTCCTGGGGCACCGTGGCCTTGGCTGTCCCTGCTGGATGATACCACATCCCTGTGGCAAGATGAGGTGCCAGCAGCCCCTGTTCCCTTGGGGAGGGGAGAGGTGACTCAGCCATGCAGGGAGAGGGTTTTCCTGCTCCCATCTCCCCCCACTCCAGCTCCCTTTTCCCACGGACGTGGTGCTGGAGCGCTTGTCCCAGGGCTCGTGTGTGTTCCCACCGCTGATGTCACACCACAGACCCCATTCCCACCATCCCCACATGTCCCCACAGCCCTCAGAGCAGGGAAGGGCCACTCTGGAGACCCAAATCCCACAGTAAGCAGCAAAACTCCTCGTTTCCTCCTCATGGATGCATCTGGCTGATGGCACAAACAGCTGGAGCAGCAGAGGGAAGCTGAGGGAGCGGCTCCAGCTCTGCACCCACCACAGGAAACACCTTCAGGCTCCAATAAACACCGGAATAAAGGCACTGAAAGGGGCCTCAAGGAAAGAGGCCATTCCTACAAAACACTGTCACATTCCCAGCCCCTCCATCCAGGCACAGCTGGGCTTCCCAGCAGTGATCCCACAGCACAGGGAGCCCCAAGGTGGGATTTTTGGCAGGAACCGTTCACTTTGGGAAAGCCACTTGTTCTCAGTGCACAGACAAGGAGGAGATGCAGAGGCAGTTTGGGAAGAGCAGTTGGCTTTCCAAATATTCCGGATTAATCCCATTAGCACGGTCAGAACAAAGGACAAGAGACAGATGAATGTTTCCGAAGTGATTTCTGCCAGTTGAGTTTGTTCCAGCCTGGAAGAAAGTGACTGGGATTTCCCTGGAGTTCAACTTTTCAAGGATTTCTTCTTCCTAGAGACCCCTGACGGCCTGGGAAGGGCCTCTCCTCTTCCCAAGCCAGTGGGAAAAAGGCACCAAGGGAGGCCAGATGTCTCCTCCCCATCCCTCCTCGACCACAGGGCTGCTTCTCAGGCACTTCCCATGTCCCACAGACACCATGGACCGCCTGGAATGGTGCAAAAACCAGTCCTGGCACTCCCAGAGCCCCATTTTGGACCATTTTTCCCTCCAGGAAACCTTCTGGGGGAGGCAAATCAAACCTCTCCTGGGTCTGTGTGCTGAGAAGAAACTCAAATCTCATTCTCGTCAATAAACCCTGTAAACAAGCACAGTTTTCCTCCCACTCTGTTTCCCAGCTCCTTCCCACCCCGGGAAGCCAGAGGAAACATCCTGATGGAGCACAAAGTGTTTCTGGCCCCTGGAGCTGCCCTGGGTCACTGGCCACAGGATTTCACCCTCCTCCAGCTTCTTGGAATAACGTTTCCTTGAGGGAAAAAAAAAACCCTACATGCTTTTTCTCAACTTGAAGGGGGTTTTAGGGAAGTCTGAGAGGGGGAAAAGTCTCTTTTCCCATCTTGAGACAAGCGTGTGACCGAGCCAGAGGCTCATCCATGAGAGTTATTTCATATCCCATCACACGTCGTTGGCTCCAACGGGTTTTTCCAGCCAGGATCCAGCAGTTTGAAGCAGAATAAACAGGCCTGTTTGTATTCCAAGAGAACATCTCCAGCGGGAGAATGCCATCAATCCAACCCCTCCAAAAGTCACCTGCTCTTTAGTTGGGAAGAGGGGGAAAGCCTCAGGTGGGGTAAGAAAGAGCTGGAGGTTGTTGGGAGAAAAGGGAGGAAGAAATTCCTTGGGGAGATGCTGGGTGGGTGAGGGTAAAAAAATTGGGAGAAAAAGCCTGCTGGGAGCACTCCCATTGCTCCTTTTGGGATAGCCTGGAAAAAAACCCCTTCCAAGCCCCAGCTCTGCACGGGACATGAACCACAGAACCTTATTTATCCTGGCAAACAAGATAACAAGCAGGGAATAGTCCTTGAGGGAACAGCTCTCCCTCACTCGCTGTTTTCCACCCAAAACACTCAAAATGTTCCTCCAGAGAGCATGGGAGGGCATCCCACAGGAGGCTCCTTTCCCATCCCAGCCTGTCACTCCCGGACAGCTTCACAAACCCACCAGGGGGTTTTGGAAGCTCATCCGAGCTGGGGGGGTAAAAGTTTTCCAAGAGAGATGAAGCAGAGAGAAAGAACAAAAAGAAACAAACAGCAGAAGAAGCAAAACAAACATTATCCAGTAAATATTCCAGGCTTCAGGACCCCGTTTCCTGGCCAGAGCGAGGAAGTGCCAGAGCTGGGGTGGGTGGAGGTCACAGGGCGGGCGGGTCGGGATGAGGGAGGCACTGACTCCCCTGTGCCAGCCCACCCCGTGCCCTCCAGGAAGCTGGAGCCAGGACAAGCCCTGCCTTGTGCTCCAGCTCCTGGGATAAGGGAAACATCCACAGAAACCAAATGGGGCCTTGTTATTCCGGCACAAAGAGCGCCTGGAGCCGGCGGAGGAGCGGTCGCGATGTCCCCCCCGCCCCGGGATGTGCCTCAAATCCAGCCTTTTCCCTGTTTTTCCTTGTGTTTTAGCCCTGGAATTGGGTTTTTTCGCACTTTATATGAGAGCAGCACGGGCAACCCTCTTTGCCAGAGGTTGGAGTGATCCAAGCTGGAGCTGTGATTCCTTGGGAAGGGCCAGAGCCAGCGTCCCACGGGCTGAGCCCGTGTGGGATGCTCGGCCGTGGTCAACCTTCCTGTAGAGAATTCCTGCAGAGTATTCCTGCTTTTTGCTCATTTGCTCAAAGGAGTCAGCATTTCCACAAGGACTGAGTATTCCATGGGTCTGATGAACAGTTTTTTTGGGGATACAAGGTCAAATTTTGGGAGGAGCAGAGCTGTGGCAGCTGCTGCACTGCTCCCGATAACAAGTGCTCTCCTGGCCGTGCTGCCAGAGAAATCTGGGATTTTTGGGAAGGGGATTTTTGGTAGAGGGGCTATGGATGGCAGACCCCCACCCTGGGCATGGCACCACATCCCTGGGCTGTTCCCATCCCTCTCCAGTCCCCCGGAATCCCTCTCACCTGCCCTGCTCTGCTCCGCGGGCTGGGCGGGTGCTCCGGACACCCCGGGATGGATGTGGAGCTCAGGGAACTGTGGGTGCTCCTCGAGCCTGGAACAAAAGGGAGACCCTCTGGTTACAGCAGCACCTCTGCCACCTGCCCCAAACCCCAACAGGGACAAACCCTGATCCTTGGGGTCACCAGCGTGGTGTGCAGCCACCAGTGCCAGGGATAACGATCCCGGTGGGATTAGGATTAGCCCCCCACTGTCATTCCCAGCCTCCAGAAGCTCTGGGAGCTGGCAGCAGGCACAGGGGTGACCCCAGCACAGCCATGGGATCCCAGGCAGCACAGCCACATTCCCGGTGCTGCTGGCACAGAGGGGGCAGGATGTGGCCCCATCCCTCTGGAGCTTCCCAGGCTCCCTGGGCACACAGCACAGAGGCCCTTGTTCTCCAGGAATTTAGAGCAGCCATTGTCCTGTGGGACAGCAGGGATGCTCCAGGAAGAAGGACTGGGCTGGCCATGGCTGCACAGGGACCCTCATCCAGGAATCACGAATGGATCAGGCTTTGCCAACAGCTCCAGCACCCAACATCCCGGGAATCCCAGAATCCCAGGATGGTTTGGGTTGGAAGGGACCTTAAAGCTCATCCATGTCCATGGGCAGGGACACCTTCCACTATCCCAGGTTGCTCCAAGCGCCATCCAACCTGGCCTTGGACACTTCCAGGGATTGGCCATCAGCCCTTAACATCATTCCCATTCCCAAAACAGCGGGAACTCTGTGACAATGATCCACATTTCTGGCACCTCCCTGTCCCAAACACACCCACGGGCACAGCCCCATTACGGCCCCACAGCTTCCCTGGCTGCACCAGGGGGATTTCTGGCTGGAGCACAGCTATTCCCAACCCTCCCATGCAGGAGGTGGGAGAGGATTTTTCCATAAGGCCCAACAGCTTGTTGGAGGGATTTGCACAGCAGGTGGAAGAAACCACCGCTCTGGGAGGGGAAAATCCAGGTCTGAATCCCGTTGGGATGACGGGGGATGAGGTTGGCACCCAGCCAGGGAGGGCAGTGCCCTGCACACAGACCTCCCACCCCAGGGCTGAGCTTCCTGGGCTGTGCTTTCCTTGAGCATGGAACAGGTTGGGAATTCCCCTTTTTTGGTGCAGGGAGGTGGTTGTCATCCTTCCCCGCTCCAGGATTCTATGTTTCCCATCCCATGGGATCCCTGCTGTGCTGCACACCACAGCAGGACCCCGGTTTGGGCTCAGATCCGGGGGGTTTATCCCGATTTCTCTGCTCTCTGCAGCTCCAACCACACCTTGGCAGCTCTGGCACACCCTCTCCCCGGGCAGCTTTGCTCCCAGAGTTTTTCCAGAGGCGCTGGAGCTCCGCAGCCCGAGCCTGGCTCTGCCAACAGCTCTGCCAGGAACAAAGGAGAGCGGGATTTCTGGGAGCTAAGCTTGGCACCGCTCCCCTCCCAGCCAGGGGACGCTGGGATTCCCAGATTTTGGGGGGGGACAGAGCAGCTGGCTCCATCCTGCCACGTTTGGGTAATTACCACTGACTCAGAGATAGGAATCCGGGATTGGGAGCTGGGAATGAATTGGACTATTCATCATCGGATAAAATTGCCATGAAAAGGAGCAGGGGGGGCGGGGGTGACCCCTCCTTGCAGGGGATGAATTACAGGGCCTGCTGGCCACAGCCAGGCCCCATTAACACACCCCATTAATGCTGCTTTGAATCCCAATTAAAACTCATTAAAGAGCCCCGGGCCAGACAAGTTGCCTTTGAGGAGGAATATTCCTTGAAACAGGGAGCTGCCATTTTTAGACTCAAAGCAGCCACTTATCCTTGTCCCAACCCCCAGCAATCCCCCCAAAGCTGGAGAGCAGCGGCCACCACCCTGCTGGAGACAAGGGGGCTTGTTCTCCATGAACAACCCACCACTGACTGGCTTGTTCCATCCTCATCCAGCTGGGAAGCAACACGACCTCCTTGGCTCTTCCCAGCTGGGGCACCAGCACAGCTCCAGGATCTGCAGCCAGCACAGGGGCTGCAAAGCAGCTCCTCCCGAGGAGCCCCCAGCCCTGCACACACCCCCCAGCCCACCCTGGGGGCACAGCCACTGGATTTTATACCAGCACTTCTATTTTACACAATCACTTCATTTTACACAATCACTTGATTTTACACAATCACTTCCATTTTGCACAATCACTTCCATTTTGCACCATCACTTCTGTTTTACACCATTTTTTCTTTCTGATCAGTCTCTACCCGGGCAGCACAAACGAGTGGGGCTTTTCCAACTGCCACGCCACTGAATTCCAGCTAAAAATATATGGATTTCAAGGCCTAATGAGGCAGAAAACTTCTCCCTCTCCCACCGGGAAGAGCACCTGCCCATTGTCACACAAGGCCACCAGCCCAGGTTGCTCCAAGCCCTGGCCAACCTGGCCGTGGACACTTCCAGGGATCCAGGGGCAGCCACAGCTTCTCTGGGAATTCTGTGCCAGGGCCTCCCCACCCTCCCAGCCAAGAATTCCTTCCCAATCTCCCATCTAGCCCTGCTCCCTGGCAGTGGGAAGCCATTCCCTGTGTCCTGTCACTCCGTGTCCTTGTCCCAAGTCTCTCTCCAGCTCTCCTGGAGCCCCTTTAGGCCCTGAAGGTGTTTGGAGTTGGTTTTCAAACATCAGAGCACACACAGTGCTCTGTGAAATTCACTTTTTAGAAGACTGGACCCATTATTTCCCTGGAAATGCGGCCAATCCCTGCTGTCCAATCCAATTTCTGCAAAGCCCTTTTCCCTGATGACACGGCCCAGTGCCTACAATCAATATCTGATTGATTGAACCACTATCAGCTTTTCCATGGATCAGCATTTCCCTCAGACACTCTGAATCTGCACTTCCCAAGGTGCCAGAGGACATTGTGACTTCCCACCAGGAATGTGGGACAGGAACCTCCCAGTTGAGGGTAATTTCATTTATTTACTGTGATCACAACAGGCAATTGTTACAGTTTTCTCTCTGGATTCCGGGTTTGGATTCGTGTCCTTGCTGCACTCCCAGGATGAGCCATTCCTTGGGCTCCATGGCCAATGTCAAGGAAAACATGGCAAAGCCAGAGGAGACCTTGGGCTCACCCAGGGACCTCCCAGATGGCATCTCCTTTACATGGCTTCTTTTGGGAAAATCTCCAGCTATTTAAAAACTCCCTTCCCAAAATTAACACCCCCCCCAGGCCCCTATTAATTTGTCTCATGGTTAATTATGTTTAGGGCTTTGGAAGCAGCCTCTGGCAGTGGGTGGGAGCTGGGAGCACCATGGACTCCTGCCTGGCCAAAACACCCCCTGATCCAAGGTTAAATTCCTCCAGCCCTTCCCTGACCACAGGATTCCCACTTGGGCATCCCCAACCATCCAAATGAATACCTTCCCTCCTCCTGCTGCTGTTCTCCATCCCAGGACTCACATCCCTGTTCCCACTCAGCCTGGCTCCCTGCTCCTCCTGCTCCCTGGAGCACAGCAGAGTTTTCCAGGGTGAGGAATCACCCAGTGACCCTCAGCCATGGAGGAACTCCTGGAACCGGGCTGGGTTTCTGTTTCCAAGGCACAGAGACCAAACCTGAGCCCAGACTCTTGCCAGGACCAGGGATGAAGTTGTCCCTGATTCCAGCAGCACCTTCCCAGTTGAAGGCCCTGCTGGAGAAAGCCCTGCCAGGCAGAGCTGGAGTGGCCATGCCATGGCATCTGTGCCACGCCAGGGGGGCAGAATTTGGGCAGCTCCCTGAGCGTGGGCTCTCCCTGCGTTTCAGCTGCTCCACCTCCATCCTATTTATAACCTCCCGAAACTCTCCCGGGTTCCAAACTCCCCCAAAAACTGGGATCTGGGATGTGCTGCGGCTGCTTGTGCTCCTTCCCGTGGGAGGGAAGGGGGTGGCTTGGGACAGGGATGGAACCAGCTCGTTCCACAGGCTGACAGCAGATATTCCAGCCCCCTCCTTGCCTTTCCACGTCCCCCCACATCCTGGGAAAAGCTTGTTTTGCCCCCGATGCCTTGGGAAAGTTCTGCCTGGCTTTAGGCCCCTGCACCTGATTTGCAAATGGATTTTCCTCTAAGGATGACTTAGGAATATTTACAAAGTTTGGAAAAGCCTGCCCAGGGCTCCTGTTTCCAGCACTCCCTGGGAAGCAGCCGCAGTGTGGGAGTTGCTGCAGGAAAACATTCCCAATAGTCCCTGACAGCACTGAGAGCTGTGGACTTTACTGGTTTTAGTCAGACTGGGCAGGATGGAGACTCCCTGGGAACATCCAGGCAATTCCCAGTCCCCAAACCCCACCAGCTTTGGATCACCAGACCCTTCCCTGAATCCCCACCTCGCACTGACAGCCCAAAACCCCCAGGAAAAGCATCTTCTCTCCCTTACGTGCTTGTGCCACTTTGTTTTTCCCTTTCCACACCAGCCTGGGCCACAGGGAAGGGCCAGTGACTGAAGGACATGTTCCCCACCTCTGTGCTGGGGTTTGTGCCCCAGTTTGTCTGGAAAGATCCTGGCACTGATCCTGGCGGGTCAGGAACCTACTCCAGGGTTTTCTTTTTCAACCCACATTGCAGGAGACAAAATTCATAGGGTGTATTAGAGCTTTACATTGATTTAATGAAAGCAAATCAGGCGCAGATGACACAGAACTTCCTATTTTTGCACCTCCATTCCTCGAAAATTCCCAGCAGGGTCCTTCCCCATCCTCCTGCAGGGGCTTCCCTGACAGCCCTGCAGCCTTTTCCCAATGTAGCCCTGAATAAATCTGTTCACACCCCAGAACAAACCTGTTAATGAGCTCTACAAATTCACCAGCCTGGCTTCAAACTGCGACCCTGCACCGGGGACTTTGTGGCTCTTTCATCCCAGTTGTAGTTGGTTTTTAACCCAATTTTGAGCTCTGCCCATCAACCCCTCTCTCAGCACCCAGGATTGCTGGAAACACACTTTTCCTGGAGCGGGGATGTTGGGATGGCACAGCACAGGACAAGGCACATGGGAATACCCAACCACAAAGGGCACCTCTGGTGAGAGCCCAGAAAGAGCTGAGGGGGCAAAACACAAGTTATTTGCCAAGGAAAAAGGTGGGAAAGAGGGATTTCTCCCCATTTTCACTGGGGAGCCACCAGCATGGCTCTGGAGCTGCCCCAGGGGATTTGGACATTCCCAACATTCCTGCCAGGAGAGCAGCGATTTTGGGAGCCAAGGCAGCAGGCAGAGCACAGCTCCCACTGCCCCCCTGGAACATGGAACACTTCAGGGCTTGGAGAAGGACCAGGGCAGCTTCAGCTGCGTTTGCTCCCACTCCACGAGCACCAAACCAGTTAATCCAGTGCCCTGCCCAATGCCCCCCAGTGCCAGTCCCTGCCGTGGCCCCACCAGCCCTGTCACCACCCAGAGCAGCACTGGGGCTCCCAGCACCCACAGGGAGCACCAGTCCACTCCCAGGATGGGGATCAGAGCCCACCCAGACCCTTCCAGCCACAGCCAGGACCAGGCAGCCCTTTGCCTGGGGGGGCTGCCCGAGGCTGGGGGGCTGCAGTGTCCCCCCGAGCGTCTGAGCCCCCAGATCATCATTGTCAGGGACACAGAGCAGGGATGTGGGTGTGGGACCCGCAGGTCCAGCTCTGCTCCCACAGTCCCACGGCTCCCACAGGATGGAGGGAGCTCCCCTTTCCTCCAGACTCTGCCGTGTCACCCCCAATCCAGCAGGATTTTGGGTGCTCTGGGCCGCCCCCATCCAGCGTCCCCCTGGCACAGCCTGGACCTGCTGCTGGATGGGGAATGGGAGGGGATGAACTCAGGGATGGGGGAGTGGGAGGGGATGAACTCGGCTCCCGTGGGGATGGGGACAAACGGGCACCGATCCTCAGCGGGCAGAGCCTTCCCTGCGCCGCAGGAACCCGGGAGAGCCGCGGGGCTGAGCCCGCAGGGCGGGTTTGGGGGGCTCCACACCCCCCACCCCCTCTGCTCTGCTCGGGGTGAGCCCGCTCAGCCGCCACCGACCCTCTTCCACCTCGAACCCCCCCGTATCTCTCCTTAATCCCCCCCAGCCCCATTCCCGAGGTTTCCCCCCCCCCTCCCAGCCAAGCCGGCAGCCACCTGTAGAGGTCTGGGCAGCATCTGCCGAGCGGAAAGCGGCTTAGAGCGGGGTCCCCCGGGGGATGCTCGGCCCGGGGGGCCGGTGCTCGACCTCTGGGGGGATGCTCGACCCTCGGTGGATGCCCGGGCCGGGGGAGGGATGCTCGGATTTGGGGGATGTCCGGCTCACGGGGGATGCTCGTCCCGGGGGTTCCTCAGTCGGGGGGAATGCTCAATTGGGGGGGGGATGCTCGGTCCGGGGGAAATGCTCAGTTTGAGGGGGATGCTCGGTCTGGGGGGGATGCTCAGCCCCCGCGGGGGTGCTCAGCCCGGCCGGCCGCCCTCTCCAAGGGTTAAAACTGCAGCAGAGCTGCGGGGCTGGAGCGGCCGCTGGAGCGGGAGGGGCGAGGGGACAATAAAATCCATTAAAGCGGAGAAATAAAAAGCAGGACGCTCGGGCCGGGGAGGGGGGGAAGGGGAAGGGGTCGGGCGGGTCCCACTCGCTCCGCAGCCCCCGCTCGGCACCTTGCGGGGCGCGGGGAGCGGGGTGGGCAGGTCCCGGTCCTTACCTTGGTGACAGTCATGCGGGTGGCGCGGAGGGGCGAGCGCTCCGCGGGCGCGGGGGGAGGGAGGGGGGGGCGCGGGATGCGCGGAGCGGGGAAAAATAACAACCAGGGGAGGAGAGGGATGAGGAGGAGGATGAGGAGGAGGGCGAGCAGGAGGAGGAGGAGGAGGAGGCCGGGCCGGGCTGTTCCCCGCACGGAGCGCGGAGCGCAGCGCAGTCCGCGCCCGGCCGGTGTCGGCGCGGCGGGGCGGTGATGTCACCGGAGCCGCCTCCCGCGGGGGGGGGGGACGGCCCACGAGGGGGGGGCCGGGGGGGGGGGAACGGCCGCTTTAACCCTTTGCCGGCCCCCAATCCCCCGGCCCGGAACGGGCACCGCGCCGGGGATGCGCGGAGGGCAGAGCGGCCCCGGGCGCGGCGCATCCCGGAGCGCGGCGGCCACCGGGAGAGCGGGCGGAGGGCACGGGGAGGGGAAAAGCGCTCCTGGCTCCCGAGCCATGGGATAAATGCGGGTTTCTGGGCGCCGGGCTGCGGCACAGCTCTGCAGGGGCAGCGGGACACGGCACGAGGCGGGGCAGCGGCTTTTTGGGAGCCGGGGATGAGCCGCAGGGCCCGCGCCTCGCTGGCTGCTCCCCCCCCGCGGCCGGGCGTCCCGGTGGGGCAGGAAATCATGGAATGGCTCGGGTGGGAAAGGACATTAAAGCTCATCTCGTTCCCGCTCCCTGCCATGGGGGCAGGGACACCTTCCGCTATCCCAGGTGGCTCCAACCTGGCCTTGGACACTTCCAGGGATGGGGAATATACGTTCCATATATATTTATATAATTCCACATATGTTTATCTATTCCATGTATATTTACTATGCCATGTATATTTATCTATTCCATGTATATTTGTATATTCCATGTATATTTATCTGTTCCAGGTATATTTGTATATTGCATGTCTATTTGTATATTCCATGTATGTTTGTATATTCCACGTGTGTTCCTGTAGCATCCAGAACCATCCACCCATGTGCTCGTTTCCCTTCACATATAAAATTATTTCTTTTTCCCCTCCTGTTATAGATGGTGACAAGTGACCACCCCAGAGCCTCGTGCTGTGTCCCAGAGCTGTCAGCTCCATTTTCCAGGCCAGTGCAGGGTGGCCCAGACTGGAGGTGGCACTCAGGGTTACTTAGGGCTCCGATGTCCCTTCGTATGCCCAGGTACCTCCACAGACCAGGCCCGAACAGCTGCCACAAAGTCACTGCTGAGAGAAAAAAAATCTGTATATTTTCATCCCACTTCCTCTTCCACCACTGAGAAAATCATCCTCCTGATGGCCCCGACTCAAAATAAAATCAGGAACCTAATTTAATAAATTGAGGAGTGCAGGGTACCAGGAGGCACCGAAGCATCCCTGGCCTGTATCACTTTGCACATCCTTGCACCAGCTACAGACCAGGAATTTTCTCACATATGTAAAGATCCTCATCATGAGAGATGAGAGAATAAATACTTAGAAAAAAAATAGCACTTTAGCTCCTTGTCTCCTGGTTACCTGGCAATGAAAGCAGCAGGATACAGCCCAGGCTCAGAATTATCCAGCCATTAGATTGGATGTTGCACCAACTGATTTTATTGTTGCTGAATTAAAAAGGCTCGAGGTCAATACCAAATGCATTTCCAATTCCCCTTAAAGAAAAGCCCTGCCAATAAACAAAGGATTTCCTTTTTTATAAGGAGATTATTCAGCCAAGAATCTGATGATGAAAGATTAGTTTTATTCCAGTGCTGAGCCTCCCTGTAAAACCACAGTGGGTCTGACAACGAGTGAATGCCGAGAGCTGTAAAAAACCTTTGCTCCCTGATATTCTCCTAAAAATCAACTATTTTTAAAGCTAAACCATGTGAGCTGGGCTGGAGACTGACTGTGAGAAAGGTTAATGCAATTAATGGAGGGCTAATGACATCAGCCAGCGAGAGAAGCCACCTCTAAATCCCGAACCACCCAGCAATGACCTTTTCCCAACAAAACCCCATTTCCCGGGAGCTGCTGGTGGGAGCAGAAGGACCAACGTGGGCAGAGATGATGCTTAAAATGAAACAGAGCTCGGGAGGTGACTGAGACAGGGGACACTGAGGCCCAGCTGAGCCAGAGGAGGAGAATCCAGGTTGTTCGAGAGCCTTGGAGGAGCTGCCGTGTCCCGGCTGCCGTCGCTTGTGGGGTGGAAGCGGCAGCGCCCGGATCCCACTGAGCCTCCTGCACTGTCTGGAGCTGCTGGAATTAATTAGCACCAATTAACTGGTGGAAACAACTCACTTGGAGCTGTGAACTGGGACAGCTGGAGGAGGTAGGGCAGGAAGGGAAAGGCTGGGGGGCTCCTGGAGTCTGATCCTGAGGATAGAGGGATCCGGATTTTCCGTGTTGCGGTAAATCCCAGCACCCCCCAAACCCCCAGTGCTGCTGGGGGGAGATCAGAAATATTGGAAAAGGGGCTGGGATCCCCTTTGGGGAGCGGGGAAAGCAGTGGGAGCCGGTGCAGCCCCTCTGCCGAACCCTTGCCAGGCAGAGGTGGGATGCTGTGGGAATCTGGTGGGATTTTGGAATGCTGGGGAAGCTGCAAGTATGGAGCAATTCCCTGCTCTGAGGGAATTCCTGTGCCATGGCCAGGATAACAGCTCACCTTGTTCCCCCAGTACAGCACAGCAACTCCAAATCACCCAGTTTGGGGCAGACTGGAGAGGAGTTGATTACAATTTGGATCCAAATTAAGACAGTGACAGATCTCAGGAGTTTGGTGACTGAGGTTTGGTTCTGAAGGTTTGTTGGGACCCCACTCAAGCCCCAGACTGGACTTGTCCTCCAGGGGGGCTCGGATTGGGCTTTACTGGGGCTGTGCTCCCTTGATCCTCCTGCAGCTCCCAGGAAAGGGAGATACTCCTGGAAAAGGGAGATGTTCTGCACCTGCAAAGGGTGAAAGGAGTAAAAATCTGCTGGCACAGTGCAGGATCCATGTCCTGTGTCCTGGCCTCTTCCAGCTGGAGCTACCTCTCCATCAGCACCAGAGATCCCTGCAAATCCACCAGCACCAGAGATCCTGCATCCCCATCAACACCAGATATTCCTGCTTCTCCATCAGCACCAGAAATCCC